TTAAAATGGAACGTTGACGTGTGTGTTTTGTCTTGTTTTGTTTTGTCGGCGTCTATCAAGGCCGCACTGATAACAAAGTTGATACAAAGCTGATACAAATACAACGTTCGTGCCAGATGTCGAAGTGTCGAGCTAAAGTGAAATCCACTGTATTGTCTATCGATACAAAGTAAATACGAATGAAAAATAATAACTATAATTAAACAATAACAAATATAATTGAATCGAGAAACACACACGTGGATAAGCATCCACGATAAGATGTGTTACAATTTATATTTACTACAAGATCGGTCTTTCATTTAAAATGTTACTTCGATTGAAAGAAAGAACTTGAAGGGTACATTTCCCGGGGTCAACATCACTTGTAGCATTGCGACTTTCGATTAGTTTACGGTTTTTTAAAGTGAAATATTCAACTGTTACCAAACCACCCAAATGATGTTCTTTAAAAATCTACTACATTGCAAAATGCGTTCTAAAAAGACGTACAAAGCTTCGGGCCCAGCCAAAATAACTTATTGGACATGATGAAATATCAATCTGATTAAAATCTGATGTAGTGTACGGGCTTTAATTATTTTGGCTATAAACTTATTTTAATTTTAGTTTTATTACTTTTGTTATTAATGCTTTTTGATTTTATTATTTTTCTTTGATTTTTTTTAATTCCGCCCTACATACATCTGATGTATGTAGGGCGGAATTGAAAAAAAAAATCACAAAATCAAAATCAATTAAAGCCCGTACACTACATCATATTTTAATCAGATTGATGAAATATGAAAATAAAAATATTCTAAATATAAGAAATATTCTAATAAAGGAGAGACATATACAGAAGTAAATGGCGCGTATTGATTTTTATTTTACTGTTGCTCAAAGGGGTAAATAGTGCGTTATGTGTCGGGGTTAAGTGGCGATATTTAGTCTACTTATGCAATGGCCATAACTGGTGAGTTACGAATTATCTATCACTGGTACTGGTACGAAATCATTACGCGAGCGACACCAACAAACTCATTTTTATTTTAACTTGCGCAGAATCCGAGAATATTAAATACTAAAGGACAGCGGAAGAATATGAAATCCACGAGCTTGACGGTAAGAAAGAGGACAAAAGGAATTTATGGGTGGAAGGTAGTACAGACTGCAGAAAAAAAGACTAGCTATTAAGCCGAACAACTTTGAAGGATAAAAGCTTTGAACCCCCATAAAACAAACAAAAACAAATACTTCATCTAACAGGAATGCAACATTAGCCCACACCAGGAGCGTTTTGGGCATTATGTAATTCATATTCGTCGCTTTAAAATTTTAAAATTCTAAACCTATGAAAAATTCGAGTACGATCAACTGTTATCATTTTTTTTGTTAAGCTTTATTTCAGGATAAGAGTAAAAATGCAATATCCCAAATCAGGAAACACTCATTAAAATAAAAACAAATGAAAAACACAAACAAACAAGCGATTAACTTTTTAAAAAATACATCATATTTCTATGCAATACGTGATGTCTAGAAAACAACGTATCCGAGTTGAGAACTAATTTTACAACATTGTTGTTGCTATTATACATTAAAGCGCACCTGCGCATGCGTCAGATGGTCATAGCGTGTCATTGTTTACAAACAAGCGTCTACGGAGCCTTTGCGTTTTTAGCGAATGTAGTTATCGTCGCTTGGGACTCCCGCGCGTGCGCAGGTGACGACACTCCTGCTTTAAATTTGCGCCTCTAAATTTAAATTGTTGTTATATACACACGTACCTCTAGCGTCACAGTCCTTTGAAATCCCAAAATAGTAAAATATAGAGAAATAGTTGTCGTTATTACATTATTTTCAAACGCACAACTTAAATTAAGAACAATTACGTATCGCTTGAAAATTCTGCGTGTGAAGTTTGGCTACTAGGGCGCCACCAGTCGGCGACTTGTGTGAATTTAATAACCGCGGCAGCAGGTCACCAACGATGGATAATCGATTCATTCTGATTTCAAAAGGCATGCAATGGCGGCTCGGATAAATTACTGTGGTGCTGTTTATTATAGAACGTATACGCTGGTCAGGGTAAGTTAGCCATTTATTTTAGGCGGATATATTTGTCGGGGTTAAAAAAAAAATCGTTATTTATCTTTGGAATCGCGGGAGTCGTATTTTGTTTTAAAATTAATCGTCATGTCATATATCTTTCGCCGTGATAAGATACCGATATCAATCACGAGAAACGAGGTCTGTATAATGGTTTTGATAAAATTCGCGGGGCACTGAGATGCACAGTCACGTGATCGCTCTATTTTTGTATACTTAAACGGTTTCGACTTTTCACTCTGATCGGCTTTATCCTTGACCTTGTGCCGCAAATTGACTAACCTGGATAAGCCGAATAAATGATTATGATGAACTTGATTGCTTTAGACGTAGTTCCTGGTTTATTAAAAGCAGTAACGGGCGATTATTGGCACGCGCAGACAAATTGTTGTCAAAACATGACGTGTGCAGAGAGGCAACTATCACAATCTTTGATTGATTAATCTTACAATTTGTCAACAATATTGTCCGTTGCAGTGACTATATTTAAACCGTAAGTGGATGATCATGTTGATAGAGAACGGAACAATATGCATGCTAAATGTGTCCCTAAGTACGCAAGAAGAGGCACATTTAGTAAATCTGATTATCATGTTTTTAAGGAGAAGTAATCAGTAATATACTTTACAATTTATATAAATATATTTTGTAACGAAATGGTCAAAACAGTATTGCTCCCGAGAAGTCTTAAAATTTCCATGTCCGATTTTTAATGAACCGAGTAAATAAAGAGTAACTTGGGGTAGCCAATGACGTCATTGTACAGCTGATTCGTCACCTAAACATGATGTCTCAGACTGCTGCTGTCCTTGCCTGCAGAAACATTGCCTAAATTCGGGGGTTTTGAATGAGCATGAACAAGTAGACGAGCTGTGTATTGTCCAGCATTCGGTGGATCTCTTATAGCGACGACGACTTTGGAAGGTGGGTGTTTTTGAATTCAGCGAACAGGAATTATTGTTGCGAACATTTACGTTTGAAAATCTCAACTGACGGTTCGAAGTGTGGCGTACGGACCCAAGCCGTTGACCGGCCGCGAGAAGATATGAGTCACGCCATGAGTCAGGAAGAACACAAACATCGTATAAAGCTTGCTATTCTCGGGTTGCATGTCGGTTCTGTTCACAACAGAATGGGCTGACAGATTACGGTACTCGGGCCGGGTCATTTCTGGACTGTGAATAGAACTCCGAATAGCGTTGATGTTTGCAGAGCGTCGCGGGTCCCGCACATGTGCAACGTTTTTTTTTTATATACAAACCGTAGCGTAATGTTTCTACATAAACATTGCGTTATGGCTGTTTGACACGATGTTGTGTGTCAACCAAACTGATATTAACTCGCCCAATTTTCAAAAGGTATTGTCGGTTGATAGCAACATGTTTTGTATTTGGTTGTTGTAGCTGTACAATACATGCAGTAACAATAGGTTCACCTCGCTGACCTGGATATTTGTGTTTATACACGAACACGCATCATGTAAATTGTCATGTCTAATCTGAACCTGTGTATTCGTATTTTTGAATTGGCACGGATATTGATAATATAGTATTAATAATCCTTGTTCCGTAAACGATTCGCCCTAAGGTACATACCACGGATATCATATACGTATATACACACACAATCACGTTCGTCGAAATCAGAACCCAGTTATCTAGGTCTCTGCTGTAAAAATAAAGCTACCAATTATTAAAATATATTTGATAATAATAATATTAATAACAATGTTATTGCTGCCTTAGAAATAATTCCTATTGGTTTACAGCAATGAAATGATAGTAATAAATACAATACATTTTATACATGACACGATTATCTGAAATGAAAATAGCCAAATTAAAAAGAAATCAGCGCTTGTCGTTTTCATGTAATTAAAATTCCACAACTTAGATTGAAAATCATATTGAATTTGTGTTAAGATATGTTGGCATGGAAACGTAACAGTTGTAATTTCAGGCTCTATAATGATATTGTACTTGTACATACGTGAACATGTTTTGTATTTGTATTGAACAAAGTCTTGTACAACTCTGCCGTGTTTGTCAACATATCTGGTCTTGTGGTTCGAATGGTTATTTTCATTTCATTATAGTCACGGGACTACATTATGTCTAATATTTGGTGACAGTGTCGATGTCTCAAAACTCCACACTCCATTAGCAACAAGTATTAGTTTGCTTTGCGTACAAGAACATTTGTGTGTATTGTGCAGTACGATACGGGACGAACACTGGTGCGAATTTGAGCCGCCGCGATATTTCTCCATGATTTGTTAATCGATAAGATATGGTGACTTTATGACCTTTGAATTTGTATAGCATTACGTCATGACATTTGACATTCTTCAACTCATCTACAGTGTTTATATAGCCACGTGATACTGGCTTCGTTAATTGGCATTCTCTGACTCGTTTCATGGATACCAATCACTCAGCATTCCACGGGGATCGTGTTTCTCTTCTCCGTTCGCACGAACCTCACTTGCTTTGAATTAGCTCTCCTTTCTATCAATTTAATAGAGAAGTTGCTAAAATATAACGAGAATGGCTGAGTATGAGAATATGGCAGGTATTAGTATCAGTATAACCACAGTCCCAGGGATAGACTGAGGGACTGTGGTATAACTAAGCATGACTTGCATGTATTTGAGATTTATGTTTGCGTGAACACATACACATACACTTTTATAAGGTTACAAAGGCATACTCTCCCAATCATGATACCCGTATAGTGTGTCCTTGCAGTACGTGTGCATGCACCATTCTCTCAATGTTCCTGATTAAGGAGAGGTGCGACAGATTGACGGGGGGTGGGTGGGCGTGCGATCACCAGTATCTAAGTACTTGTTGCTCCATAATCGCCCAGTTAAAATCCTAATATACTAGTAGCTTGAAAAACAAAAACAATAAAACAACACATAAAAATGAAACATAAAAATTAGGACCTGTTTTGAAAGACAGTCGAAATATGTTTAATACAATCCACAGTAATATTTATTTATAATGGGAATGGCAGCACGATAGTGTCTATCGCAATACGGTGAGTGTCTATCGCAACACGGTGTCTATTACCGTCTTACAGTACATATATGTAATTATTTCGTGAAGGCCAAATAATTGTACAATGTATAATCTACATAATTTTCATATATTTATACGTTCTTTGCAATACCATGCTAATTAAAGAACATGTATGTAATGATTAGGTTTCCAGTAAATCTGTCTAAATTACCGGATTTTTCATGGAAAATGGCAAATTTACATTTGGCTAATATTTTAACATTATGCATTACTTTAAACTAGAAAACAGTTTGTATTTTTAAAAAAGCGCCTATGAGAGAAAAATAGCTTCTCGTACATTTCCACGTTTCCTTTCGTGTAATTTACATAATAATAGGACATCACCTTTTGAACTTTAACCTCCGTAAGGCTAACGAGATAGATCGCTACATGTGTGATATAAGCATCTGTCTGTGGTGTAACAACACAGTAACCATTTTAATCCTGAATTGTCGCCGTTGAACACTCCATATTAACTGTATGTTTATGTAAGGTTAGTAAATTATAGTACAAGGTTTTTTTCAAAAGCTGTCCCCGTGGCCTGTGTACGTTTCCTCATTGTCCTTTGTCAATTGTTAATTTAATTTAATTTAATTTAATTTAGCGTTTCTTTGTTTACTACAGCTTACGCGTTTCGTCGTCCTTTTTCTGTTTCTTTTTTATTCTTCCTGACACGATGGACCTATACATCGTCGTTATTAATGCTTTGTTGTGTGCGCACTCACATTGTATGTGTGCATTGCTAAAAACTGGGTTGCCTCCCTATGACCTCAAGCGAGGTCTTCTTAAAATTCTGATTATTTGACGCCACTGTATGCTGTTGAAATATAGCTGTGTATCTGACGATATGGCTTGAGTATCTTCTGTTTCTGTGATAACTTGCTCATTTTTTTTTATTCATGTATGCGGTACGAATTCATTGCATTGTGTCTTCGCCGTATATTATCATACACCATGACTGGAATACACACAGAACACCTGCCACCAAAGTGCCCTTGTCTCGGCGTTTTGAAAGACACTCCTGTTTGCAGCAGGTCGTTTTCACGCATCTATGCTATTATATCAGATTTTTCATTGAACTGTGTGTGTGTGTGTGTGGGGGGGGGGGTAAATTGTGTCATTTTTCGAAGCGTTTATGGAAACAATCAAAACATATCGGGTGAAATAAAATTTAGGATCCGCCCCTGGCTACGCTCATAGATCGTATGCTGCGTGTACTGATGAAATTCTGACTGCATGATTTATGGTCATCGCCCACCCTTGTTGCCATGAATCGCTTATCGCCACATTATTCTTTGTGCACGTGATCCTGAAGAAGACTAATTCAAAATATTTAAAATAATAATTGGGCTATATCTGTTTCATCAAGTTCTAAAATATGGGACATTTTGAATGTATTATTCCCTGTATTTATGGCACAATGCTGTTACATTTATTTTGTGCACTTCGCAAGTATCTGCGTTCCCACCGTCCACTTTTTAATCGTGATTTCACGATATTTATTTATTATTTTATCGCAGTACACTAAAAGTGCGTAGGGTATTTATATTTGTACGTAATGCCACGCCGAGTAACAATATATGAATCGTTTCATTCTTAATCCCGATTTACTCATATTTTTACGTTTCCCCTGGTGACGTCGAGGGGGTGTATTCTGTAATAATCGACGTCGCACATACCTGTGATGTAAATTGAACGTTGCATTATGGGATTGACCTTTCCACGACCCGTGATGATAAACTGCAAGCGTCATATATACTATTGATCTCCGGAAAGCATCGCCGATTGTTTGGCGTTGTTTATTTGCTTAGATGGTGTACAACGATTTCAGTACTGTAAACACAGACGTACATCCCAATGACGTCAGATGAGTACATGCACGTCGGTGATCACGTAAAATCATGTTGCAATACTAAAGCGCACTGATGGGCGTTCTCTATAAGTATTCATTTTGGCTATTTGAATTCAAATCAACTTGTTCGTGTCTGTTATAAAATACCATACCAAAAAGTGTACCAAAGTGTTTTTAATTGTTGTCGAATGTAATTATATGTTTTTAATGGTTCACCATGTTCTCATATTGCCGCTATTGCTCAAAATTGCAATTCCACAATCGTAACAGATACCTCGTCAGCTGTCTGTTCAAATGGCTCGAGTTATGTTATTTTTACGTATATATCATGATTTAATTACAGACATCCATCGTCCCATGTTACACAAGTCATACATATTTCATAAATAATGGCGGGACTTTATTATTACCACATTAACCGTTAAACCGTGATTAATTCAAGTTGCGTAGTTTAGGGTTGTAGAAAGATAGCCACACCCTCCTTCTTCAACACTAAGCTACGAAAACCAATATAAATCAAGCTGCCGTTTCAATGATCGTATTTCTACTACCTTGAATTTTATTCAATTAAACTTTATTAAACGCAGCCCTTTTTGTAAAATTCTTTACGAAAACACAAACTGGTTTCGTTATAAAGCTAGAAGTGATTCTCGGTTACAAAACTCACCCATCACATCAAATGCGTGACATTTTGGCGACAATAATAATAAATAAAAGTTTGCAATGCATGAACATACTTCCCAGTCATCGTTCTTAATGAAGTTTTATAGCAATGATCTCAAAAGTAAATAGATAAGTTTGTAGTGATTCATGTGGTAAAAGTATATACATGTAACTTGATTGTAAGCTAGAACAAACTTGAAAATGTTCTCCCCCCCCCCCCCCCGGATGAAAAGCGGGTCAATGACCTGATGTCATCTTACATCAAGTTGCAGTGACTGAAATATATAATGGCAGTGGAATTAACAATGAGTGATGTGTAGACTATTTATTTCTGTTGCTGTATTCTT